TCTCCTGGTGACTGGCCCAAAGTTACCCAGCCAGTTTTCACGCCTAAGGTGGGACTAGAACTCAACAACTCCTGCCTCTCCGAAGTAGATACTTGCTTGAAATTAAGTCATTAAGCCATCTTTGCAGCACGTTCAGAAGCTTCCTGGAAACCAGTTTTGGAAAGCAACATACACATTTTTTTTTTAATGAAAAGAAAATAAAGCTTTGTACTTCCACTTTTAATCCTCTGTTTCTTTGAAGCTTCTGTATTACAAGACTAAGTCTTATAGTACAGTGGCAACTGGAAAGGGAAAACAGAGTAGGACGCCCGTCCTTCCCTCAGGTGATGAGGAGTATCAAAACTCCAATGCCACGAAGGCGCAAGGTAAAACGGGCTGAATGCACGCACCTTCTGTGGAGCTTGGCTTCCCTTCCTTCATCCCTTCCTCTTCCTCCTCCTCCAGGTTCTCTGGCAGGCATGCCCTTGATTCCAGCTGCTGCAAGATAGTCGGGCAGAATTCTTTGAACTCCCTCTGCCCAAGATGGGACGATTCGCTCAGATTGTGGGTGGCGAAGAGTTCTGAAGAACTGAAGCACTGCAAAGGCAAAAAGGTTGAGATTTCCACAGCGGGTCTCATCCTGCTTCTTCAGACACACAGGTGATGCACCGGCTCGGATATCCTTTCCTTAACTTCTCCGCAACAGCACCTTCTCCCTCCCTTCCTCTCAGGCCTTCGGAAGCAACTCCTACACCCGGTTTCTGATATTCTGTGAATTCGTGTAAACTTTAGGATACTGGCTCAATACCTGTGCTTCACTACGAAACTCTGTGGTTTGGCTTAGATTTTGGGGAGGAAAATAAGAGCGTGGAGGGGGGAAATTCTGCCTCTGCCTACCAGCATCCATCGGTATTCATCTGGCTAGTGTCCTGTCAGTGTGTGAGAGAGTTGAGGGCTGTTTGGAAACTGAAACATGGAAACTGTATTTGCTCTGTGAGCAAGAGGGAGACAGCAAGGAGCCTGGGCGTGGCTTAGCTCAACTGTTGTGTACTAAAGCTGCTTGCTGCTGTGAAACTGAAACTCCTCTGCTTGTGTTTTGCATTTGGAACAGATTTCTTTTCAGGTGGGGCGGGGGAGTAGAATTCCTTAGCATCAGATAATAATAATAATCATAATCATAATATAGGAAATACTAATGCTCTGATGGTCATTTTGAAAAATCCTTTCTTAGTGAGCACCTAGAAGCCAAGAGGGACGTACATGCCAAATTTCAAGTTTGTAGGCTTTACGGTTCTGGAGAGTTTGTGATGATGCGTGAGTGGACTTTCGCTTTTATATATACAGATAATTCTTCCAGTTTTGAACCCACTGCAAGGTTCCTTCTATCAGGATGCAACAGTGGAGGGAAAACACCTGGCTCTGCTAACAGTTTTTGATGGCTGTTATCAAAAAGATCTGTGCTTTTAAGACCTGAACCAGGGCTAACGTCCCTTTCATCTCCTTCCTTCCTTTTATGCGCAATGCCTTTGAGACAGACATTGGTTGCTTTTGTTGTTTTGCTGAAAGCAGCTTCAAGCCATTGGCTCTGTCACTTTGGGACATGAGTGTTGCATCACAACTCACGCACAAAAGGAGCCAGGGTTTGCTTCGTGACAACGTGGGACTTGGGAGTATGACACTACCATCATCAGATTGATAGCAACAGCGCTTAAGACTTATATATACCGCTTCACGGTGCCTCACAGCCCTCTCGAAGCGATTTACAGAGTCAGCCTCTTGTCCCCAACAATCTGGGTCCTCATTTTACCCACCTTGGAAGGATGGAAGGCTGAGTCAACTTGGAGTCGGTCAGGATCGAACTTCCTAGCTGTGGGCAGAGTCAGCCTGCAATACTGCATTCTAACCACTGCGCCACCATGCCACTGATCAGGAGAGCCATCTGTTTTCAGTCTATGGCAGGGCTGTCAAACTCGCGGATGCGTCACGTGCTGGCCACGCCCACGCCCAGTTTAGGGAGGGGAATCGCAATATGGCAAGTGATGTCACTGTGATGCCACAAGTTTGACACCCCTGGTCTATGGCCTTATGGGCAGGACTAGTCTCTTGAAGGAACGGTTCAAGAGCATCTTTAGAACAACAACATGTCAGAGGCCAGATCTGACTTCAGCTGGCAGGGGAAACATATACACATTTCCCCCGGCCACCAAGTTATTGGAGGTCCTCACCAGAACTGTTCAACTTGTATTTTAGATCCTGCCTTTATTATTTTTCTAAACAACTCAAGAAAGCCAATGTGTCCGATACGCCTTCCACCTCTCCTTTTCCCCACCACCGCAACGTGGAGAACTGAGTTGGGCTGAGAGAAAGAGAGAGTCATCCAGACCAGGGGTCTCCAACCTTGGCAACTTGGAAGTCCATCAGGCTTCAAGCAGGGGTGGAATTCAACTGGAGTTACTCCCGGTTCAGTGACTACGTTTATTCTATTTTATTCTTTCATTCTTAATTCTATTCTATTTTTTCATTTCTATTCTATTCATTCTTAATTCTCTTTTTTCATTCTTAATTCTATTCTATTCTTTCATTCTTAATTCTATTCTTTCATTTATGTTCTATTCATTCTTAATTCTCCTTTCATTCTTAATTCTATTCCATTCTTTCATTCTTAATTCTATTCTTTCATTCTTAATTCTATTCCATTCTTTCATTCTTAATTCTATTCTATTCTTTCATTTATGTTCTATTCTATTCATTCTTAATTCCATTCTTTCATTCTCTTTCATTCTATTCTATTCTACTCTATTCTATTCTTTCATTCTTAAATCTATTTTATTCTATTCTTTCATTCTTAATTCTATTCTATTCTTTCATTTCTGTTCTATTCTGTTCATTCTTAATTCTATTCTTTCATTCTTAGTTCTCTTTCATTCTATTCTATTCTTTCATTCTTAATCCTATTTTATTCTATTCTTTCATTCTTAATTCTATTCTATCATTTCTCTTCTATTCTGTTCATTCTTAATTCTATTCTTTCATTCTTAGTTCTCTTTCATTCTTAGTTCTGTTCTATTCTATTCTATTCTATTCTATTCTATTCTATTCTATTCTTTCATTCTTAATTCTACTCTCTTCTATTCTAATGGGAAAGCAGAGGTGATTACCTTGGAGATGTTCCAGTGATGTGGCGGCTGCCGCTGCGTGTGACTGACATTGTGCCGTTCGACGCCCACATGCAGGTGCCCCAACAGAGATTTCAACTGCTGCAGGCTGAGCGTGTCCTCTTCACCGTAACGGAGGAAAAGGTCCTGTAGGAAGGAGGCTGCTGTGATGGGAGGGGGAGCCGAGGCTTCGGTGCCAGCCCACGTCTGCGAAGTCCGAAGCAGGAGGTACAGCTGCAGCACCAAGGCCCGTCTCCAGAACCGTCCGCTCCAAAACATGGCTTCAAAGCTGAAAAGACAGAGCACGGCCCTTGGATTAGCACGGCCCCTTGCTCTGCTCCTAGCCGTATTTACTCCATAATTCCTGCTTCTTTCAAAATAAGACAGCAGATAGTAGAGCAAAGGGACGCCTGGACAATGGAGAGGGCCCAAAGATTGTTTACGGGAACAAAGAGCAAGTGAAACCATCATTGGGGACAGTGGGGGATTCCATTTTTTTTTTTTTACTGCCGGTTCTGTGGGCGTGGTGGCTTGGGGGCTGTGCAATGGCTTGGTGGGCGTGGTGTAGTGTGATGGGTGTGGCAGGGGAAGGACACTGCAAAATCCCCATTCCCTCCCCACCCCACTAACCTGCTTTCCAGCTCCGTTCTCCTGTGCAGGGCAACCAAAGAAGACCCAGCCGATCAGCTGGGACTCAAGGGGAGGCAGGGAATAGATGGGGTTGGCGGGGCCAGTCAGAGGTGGGATTTGCCGGTTCTCCAAACTACTCAATATTTCCGCTACCGGTTCTCTAGAACCGTCTGAATCCCACCTCTGACTGGGGTGGGGCTATAATAAAGAATGGGGGACAGCCACATCATTCCCAAGGGCAGAGATGAGATTCTCCCACATGTATTGTCCCATTTGCATTGCTGGTTTCAAATTCTATTAAATCTACACTTTTATTGATTTGATTTGATCAAATTCCTGTTCCCCCACCCCCACCCCTGGTCTCCCCTACAAGGTGACCCTGGGTGGCTAAACCTGTAGATTTAAGCCGGAGCATTTGCTACTTCGAAATGGCAGCGACCCACCAGCCAGCGAGGTGAGCTTTAAGGCCCTCGCACAAAAAGTCCACGCCAAGCGAGGACGTCCACTGTTCAATTCTATTCTAGCTGTAAATTCTGCCTACCTATCCTATCAATTTCTCTTGGCAATGCTTTTTAATGCTCCAGATTACCAGATGCGGGGGCAGAACCACGCAGATCTTAACTCGACAGCAATCCTGCCCCTTATCCTTGTGTTGTTTCTGCCAAAAGAAGACACCTCAAAATTAGGGATTTTTTGTTATGTGTGATGGCCACTTGCACATAACTTCTTATCTTACAACTTATCCTCTTCAATGGTCTTGGTCTGACTTGCACTGAAGCTTATATTCTGATTCCCAGCTCCATTTCCAAATGGCTATCCTACCTCTTCTTGATGGCCTCCAGTGTTGGAGCACCCAAAACTTCCCGTTCCACTGATTAATTGTTCTTCTCACGGTCAGAAATATTTTCCCCCTTAGTTCTAGGTTGGATCTGTCTTTAAGGATCTTCCACCCATGAATTCTTGTCCTGCCCTCTGGTGCTTTCGAGACTAGGAGAGTTAGGACACCTAAGGATAACCAGAAGTGGTCTATCAGGAAGGCAAAAGCCTTTTCACTATTCTCATTCCAGCAAACAGAATTGCTTCCATTGAAGACCTGCGTATTTGCAAGAGCCAGAAAGAGGGTTAACAAAAGATCTACAGGCCTCACACATTCCAAGAAGAGATTGGACTGGCATTTATCAGAAATGGTGTAGGGTCTCCTGCTTAGGCGGGGGTGGGTGGGGGTGTTGGACTAGATGACTGTTCTGACCCAAACCTTGCTCCAAGGAAACAAACACCAGACAGAGGTAACAGCAAAACCTTTTAATGATTCTTTACGAATTCCGTTCCTTCCCAGTTAAAAGGCTGTTTGTGTCTCTGATAAGGAGGAGCCTTGGCAAGGTTGTGCAAGGCTGCCATGAACACTAGATAAAGTTGTCAAGAATTATTTCAAACACAAAGAGTCTCCAAACACAAACTAAGAGAGTCTGAACATCCGCAAGGCCTGAGTGCAAAAACTTCTTTGCTTCCTGCAAAGAACTCCAGTTTCTCAGCTGGCTTTTATCTCCTAAGGGAGGGGCCATTACCTTGCAGCCTTACTCCCGAGTTGCCCGTGCTGCTGCAGCTGCTCTTTCCTTCGAGCAGCCCTGCGTGCACGTGCACTGGGCATAGGCTCCTCAGGGGCCTCTTCCTCACTGCTGCCAGCCTCCGCAATCTCCAAAGGCAGCACTCCACTCCCTGATGGTCCTGGCCCCATCCCTGCCTCACATGCAGGCCCCTCATCTGAGCCCTCGCTCTCCAACACCTCTGCCGTCTGCATCTGCCGCCGGTGAACCACAACAATGACCCACAAAGTCCCTTCCAACTGTGATTATCTGTAAATGTGGACATAAACTGCTTCAACTTCTCCTGTCAAGATGTCGTTACAGAACATTGCATGCCTAAAAACTAGGCCCAAAGAGAATCCCCCCGACCAAATGCTATCATTCTATTAAACACCTCATTTCCATAGCACTTAGGCCTAAAGATATTTATTCATGTAGTAGGGATATACTGCTATTATCCTTCTCATCTTCTCAACTTTCCTACTACTATCTCCTATTACTATCTCATGATTTATCACTTTTATGAATTATGACTGTATCTGTCATGCCCCTGCTGGAATCTGATTCCGAGGGGGAGGTCGAACAACTGAAAGGGAGTGGGAGTGTGGCTCCTATGGCTGTGGAAGAAACCGGGGAAGGGCACAGTCCGGCTGGGCCTTCAGAGGAAGACCCAGGCCCATCCCCTCTTCATCCTAGGGCATGCAGGGAGGAACGGAGAAGGGAGCAACATGAGTTACGGGGGAGAAAAGGGCCCTGATTCCCTTCATTAGCTGCAGCTGGGAAAACAGGATTTCAAAAGGGCGTTTGCGCACAGCACCTTGCTGGAAGCAAAGTGTGAATTATTTTGGTTTGTCAAGTCTTATCTGGGTTCTGGCATCCTCCCAATTGTGTGTGTTTCATTATCTTTTGAAGCCTGCAATTCCTTATCCTGCTCTGTCTCGTTAATTGCTGCAGCTGTGGTTTGTGTTGGTTTTTATTTATAATTTATATGTACTTTGGGTTCAGACTGAATTTCTTCCCGTTGAACAACTGTTCTTGAGAGAGTTTTTTTCTCCAGCCGATGATAACTGGACATTGGGGGCCCAAAGGGACTTTACCTACTTTTGTGTTGCTTTTGTGCCACGCTCTGGGTCATCCCAGTGTCTGTGACTTATCACTTCGTTGTTTGTATATACGCTGAGAGCTTGTGCGCAGAGACAAATTCTTTGTGTGTCCGATCACACCTGGCCAATAAAGACTATTCCAATTCCAACGACCGCTGAGCTCATATTTTGACCCTCCAGCTTTTCCAAACACCTTTGCTTGGTTAATAGAGGCAATTTCAGACATGGGATGCGACACCGGGAAAAAAATAAAGCATCCTTCCCTTAATCCTCCAGGAAAAGATTGAAGGCAAATGAGCTCCAGGTGGAAGAAGGACATAATGGCTTCAAAATCTAAGGAACTAGGTTGGACAAAACTGAGCGGCATTTTTTCATGCAGCTGTTGATAAAAATAGAATCGCCAACATCCGATGACGGATATGGCACAACACGAAGAACAGAGGCAAAACAACACCTGAATCAGAACGTGTCTTGCTTTATATATTTTCACAAGTTACAAAAAATGCAACACTTTCCCACAACAGGAGCAGTAACAAACTAAAGACAAAGAAAAACAGAATACCTGAACCCAAACAGCTTTCATTATCACTAAACAGGCGCAGGCTGATGTTTTTTGCTGTAGCCACTTCTCAAAAGAGCTTATATCAATATCGAAAAACACTGACGATTATTATATACGCATACTGAAGGAAGGAAGTCAGAAGTCAGGTTTCCCTGTTCCTTTTTACTTTCCCCTGTCACTTTCCAGTCTGATTCCCCTCCCTTTTAAAAATCTTTTCTTTTGTTTAATATTTGGTATTTAACTTTCTTGGAAACTTTATAAAGTTGGTTTGTTTTTTTTAAACAAAGAACATTCTGAAGAATGTCCTCTCTAAGGCTGTTCAACCATGTTGGACACTCCAGAAAGCAGTAGACCAGGGGTCTCCAAACTTGGCAACTTTAAGACTCATGGACTTCAACTCCCATAAGTTGCTGGATGGAGACTTCTAGGAGTTGAAGTCCACAAGACTTAAAGTTGCCAAGTTTGAAGACCCCTGCAGCAGACAGAAGGAAAGTACCACACAAATTGAAATTTGGAACAATAATAAGCGAAATGGAGCAAAAATTGAATTATCTGCTCCGGAAACCATTGTTCAAACAGAAAGTTTGCTTCTGTCTACAAGGGTGTGCAAGACACTCCAAAGATTAGAAATTAGGTAGAGGGTGAAACTAGAGGGACAGTCATACTGGACTTAATTCTTACAAACAAAGAAGAAGTGATAGAGGGAGTTGAAACTGCAGGAACCTTGGGTGAGAGTGACCATGTCATACTAGAATTCAACATAACACAAAACAAGCAACAGAGCATAATGACACCAGAGTCTTGGATTTTAAAAGAGCTGATTTCAATAAACTAAGAGAGAACTTGGGAAAGATTCCATGGATGAAAATCCTAAAGGGGAAAACAACTCAAGAATCTTGGGAAACTCTAAACAGTATGATCATAGAAGCCCAGACCAGCACAATACCACTGAGAAAGAAAAACAAGAAATCCAAGAAGAAACCAGCATGGCTGCACAAAGATCTCTCTGGCAAATTGAAAGAAAAAAAGGACAAGTACAAAAAATGGAAAGAAGGACATACAACTAAGGCAGAATATCAGCAGATAGCCAGAATCTGCAAAGACGAAGTCAGGATAGCAAAGGCTCAGAACGGACAAAGACTTGCAACAAAAGTCAAAGATAATAAAAAAAAGTTTCTTCCAACATATAAATAACAAGAAAAAAAATCAAGGAAACAGTCGGTCCACTAAAGAGAGAAGATGGCAAGGAAGTAACAGGCAACAGAGAGAAAGTAGAACTGCTTAACTCATTCTTTGCATCTGTCTTCACGCAAAAAGAAACTATCGCTCAACCCACCAAAAACCTAACTGTAAAAGACAGACCAGAAATAAAAGTTAAAATAAGCAAAAAAATAGTAAGAGAATACCTGTCTGATCTTGATGAAAATAAAACACCGGGGCCTGATGGATTACATCCCAGAGTTTTAAAGGAGCTGGCAGAGGTCATCTCAGAACCACTGCACCATATCTTTCAAAAATCCTGGAGCATCAGGGAACTACCAGAGGATTGGAAAAGAGCTGATGTGGTTCCCATCTTCAAAAAAGAAAAAAAAACAGACCCAGGAAACTATAGACCAATCAGCCTAACATCAATACCCGAGAAGATACTGGAAAGGATAATAAAAGAAACAGATCTGCCAACATCTAGAAACAAGTAAAGTAATAACTAGCAGTCAGCACAGGTTTGTTAGAAACAGATCGTGCCAAACCAATCTTATTTCATTCTTCAACACAGTGACTAAATTAGTAGAAGAGCAAAATACTGTGGATATAATATATTTAGATTTCAGCAAGGCATTTGATAAAGTAGACCACAATCTACTTCTTAGTAAGCTAGAAAAAAGTGGAATAGATAGCACCACCACTAGATGGATTTGCAACTGGCTGGCAAATCGTACTCAATGAGTAGTCCTTAATGGGTCTAAGTCTACATGGAGGGAAGGAAGCAGTGGGGTGCCACAAGGTTCCGTCTTAGGCCCAGTACTCTTCAATATCTTCATTAACAACTTAGATGAGAGAATAGAAGGGGGACTTACCAAATTTGCAGATGATACTAAGCTGGCAGGAATAGCTAACACCCAAGAAGATAGGCTCAAGATCCAGATGGATCTTGAAAGACTAGAACACTGGTCCATATCTAACAAAATGAAATTCAATATAGAGAAAAGTAAAGTCCTACACTTAGGCAAGAAAAACCAAAAGTACACATATAGATTGGGTGAAACCAGGCTCAATAGCAGTAACGGTGAGAGGGATCTTGGAGTCTTAGTGGACAACCAGCTAAATAGGAGCCAGCAATGTGCAGCAGCCACCCAAAAAGCTAATGCAATCCTAAGTTGTATTAACAGAGGGATACAGTCAAGATCAAGGGAAGTACTAATACCACTCTATAAAGCCTTAGTAAGACCACACCTAGAGTACTGCATCCAGTTTTGGTCACCACATTATAAAAAAGATGTTGAGACTCTAGAAATAATACAGAGAAGAGCAACCAGGATGATTAGGGGATTAGAGGCTAAAACATACAATGAACGGTTGCAGGAACTGGGCTTGGCTAGTCTAGTAAAGAGAAGGACCAGGGGAGCGGTCTTCCAGTATTTGAGGGGCTGCCCACAGGGAGGGAGGGATCAAGCTATTTTCTAAAGTGCCTGTAAGGGATAAGGGATAATGGATGGAAACTGAACAAGGAGAGATTCAACCTGGAAACAAGGAGAAACTTTCTGACAGTGAGAACAATCAACCAATGGAAGAGAAGTTGCCCTCGGAAGTTGTGGGAGCGCCATCAGTTGAGACTTTCAAGAAGAGATTGGACTGCCATTTGTCAGAAATGGTGTAGGGTCTCCCACTTGGGTGGGGGGTTGGACTAGATGACCTACAAGGTCCCTTCCTACTCTGATTATCTGTATCTGTAACCACTGAATGCACACATTGCATTTATTAACATGAAATTGTTCTGCTAAGTTACCCCTCGCCATTCCCCAAGAAGACAAAATGGAGCAACGAGCGTTATTTCCTTAACACAAAGAAGGAAATCAAACTGAAGATATCTCCAAGGTGCTTTTCCAAAAGACAAGGGGACAAGGGTTTTTCTTTGAAAATGTTTCACTTCCCATCCAAGCAGCTTCTTCAGTTTTAACTGAAAAACTAAAAAAAAACAAAAAACCTTTGGGATGTCCATGATCTGGAGATTGGGAATCTCCATAGACAAAGTGAAGATTGATTGAGTTGCCCAATGGATACGTAAGAGGCAATTTCCCAAGAAGTTCCAATTTGGTGCAAGACCTTCAACCTGAGCCAAGTAATGGAGCTTCGGAATGAGAAGAATTTGGGGCAACATTTTCCCAACACCGAATCCTTCAGGCACTCAGGTCTGATATTAAAGAAGGCAGGTTTAGGATTTTATGGAAGACTCAAACCCTTCTTTTATTACCCACAAATTAATGAACGCTTGATTCTGCAGGATGGGTTTGATTAAACTGTTACGGGTTTTTTTTAAAGAAGAAATATTAACATTATTAGTATCTGAAAGAGTTTTGTTCCCGCTTCCATCAGTCCAAACAAGAAAAAAGTTGAACAAGCAAACTTAGGTCGGACAGAAATCTCAGTAAATTTCATAGCATGGTTTAATTCACATGGCATGGTTTAAGCATTGTACATAAAATGAACTAAATCTGTTAGTAAATAGGCAGTTAATGTTAATATGCTCAAACTGTTTAATGCATAAACGTTAATACTTCAGAGGAATTAAAAGATCACAACATTTTATAGTTCTTCAGGGTAACCTCCCAACCAAGCACTCACCAGATCCAGCCTTGTTCAGCTTATTTAAGACTATCCAAGGCTGGCTATGACTTCCCGTCCTAGATTATTTGCAACCTTAAATTTAGATTTCAAATTGTACAAATCCATTACGGTTTTCCATTTTGACTGCTACCCTGTTCATGCATGACACTAGCCTGATCTCGAGCTAATGAAGCTACCTTGAGATTTCACTCTAGCACAGGGGTCCCCAAACTTGGCAACTTTAAGACTTGTGGACTTCAACTCCCAGAATTCTGGAAGTGGAAGTCCACAAGTCTTAAAAGCTGCCAAGTTTGGAGACCTCTGCTCTAGCAGTAGAATGTTGGCCAGTTTGCTATCAAAATCGCACAAGGTCAACAAATATCCAGGCAACATTGAAGTGACTTACCCAGCTCAGCAAAAATTCCAGAAAGCCGTTCAAAACACAACAGTTACAGAGAATTAAGAATCTCTCCAAATTCTGTCAAGAGAGAAAGAAATCTACAGCAACAGTTCTACCTGAAAAGAATCAAAAGGGCCATCAGGAGTTGTTCAATGAAGAGGGGTGAGGTTTTTCTATTTGACTGAATGGCCACAACCTGTAATTTACATTTTGGTTCCTTGTAGCGTAACCACTGCTTACCATTCGTAATGCAAAGCGAGAATTAAAAAGAGAACCTACCCCAGACCACGAACAAAGAATCTCGGTGGCAGGAACTGAAAATAAGATGTCACTTAAAAGGAGCACTTTATAAAAGATTTACTCATTGGGAAGGACATGGAAGTTAAACAGGAGAACCTGTGTCTACAAAGGTTGCTCTGGATTCATGTTTCGTAATATTCCAAGCACAGAGGGCATGTTGACCTCTTTTGGTAGTTTTTTAACCCCCCTGGGCTAAGCAGTCCTGTCCCCTATTGATTAAGCAATCCATGTTGATCTCTATGAGGCCAATTCCTTAAAGTCAACATGGGCTTTAACCTTAAAGATAACCAACCTCCAAACTAATCCAACTGTTTGAGATGGATGCATTGACCAATTGTGTTGGTACCTTGTCATTCTTACCAGCAGCTTCTGAAGTGGAACAAAGCTACAGAAGGCTGAAACACACACAGGTAGTCCTCGGATTACGACCACAATTGACCCCCCAATTTCCATTGTTAAGTGAAACATTGGTTAAGTGAGTTTTGTTCCATTTTACGACCTCTCTTGCCACAATTGTTAAGTGAATCACGTCTGTTGATAAGTGAGTAGCCCATTTCTTAAGGGAATCCAGCTTCCCAGTTGACTTTCCTCATCAGATGGTCGCAAACGGTGGATCACATAACCTTGGGACATAGCAACAGTCATAAGTAAAAACCAGCTGCCAAGCATGACTGGAGGCTAAAACTTATGAAGAACGGTTGCAGGAACTGGGCCTGGCTAGTCTAGGGAAGAGAAGGACCAGGGGAGACAGGAGAGCAGTCTTCCAATATTTCACAGGGGCTGCCATAGAGGAGGCAGTCAAGTTGTTCTCCAAAGCGAAAGAAAGAAAGATGAGAGAAAGAAAGGAAGGAAGGAAGGAAGGAAGGAAGGAAGGAAGGAAGGAAGGAAGGAAGGAAGGAAGGAAGGAAGGAAGGAGGAAAGGAAAGGAAAAGTCATGGTCGTAAGTAATGTTTTTCAGTGCCATTGTAACTTTGTATGGTCACTAAATGAACTGTTTTAAGTCAAGGACTGCATGTGTTGTTGTCCCAGAGTCTTATTAAAGTTTTGCTTTCTTAACCATTTTTGTTGGCTTGGATTATGTTTTATGGATTCCGCCCCCTCCCCTGCATCATTCCGTTTGCAAAGTATCTTGAAACTGGTACCTGTGGCAATTCAGACACACACACACACACACACACACACACACACCACCAAAACCAAAAACACACAAGGCTTTCCTTACACAAATCAAGCAGAGAAAATGTCTTAGAAAAATTCTTGCTCTCTATATGGCGCTGCAACAAAAGTTACAGTTAAGATCCATGTAATTAGGCCAAAACTAGAGAATTTCTAAAAACTAGTATGAGAAGCACAATTATTATTTACTCTAAGTTTAAAATAACTTTATAACTTAAGTCATAACAAAGATAGAGAGCTGTTTCGGGGTCTTGTGTCAGGCGTGAAGAATCAGGACCACACAATAAGTTCTACTTAATAGCCATAGCCCTCCCTTAAGAGGTTTACAAATGCTGACACCCAACAATTTGGGTGCTCATTTTACCAACCTCGGAAAGATGCAAATGGAATCACGATTCATCGCTGCCACATAGCTTGAGAAAGTGGGAGTGGGTGGTGGTATTAATTGAGTAGCTCTTAGTAGACAAAATAGAATTCTTTTGATGGTTCAAGGTCAAAAAGTGTGGCACAGAAAGAATTGGAACTTACTTTGGGATTGGTTCATGTGATATGATGATGAGTAAAAAGGCGGTGGTTTGTAGGTTGGGACATTGTGGGACGTCCGGGGAAACTTTTAGTTTCGGAATTCCACAGATGTGCCAGGTGCTATTCTAATAAAAGTACTTTTGAGATTATGGTTGTCTTGGAGTTTCTGGCAGGAATGGATGTTCCCTGGAACGCTGACAGCAAGGCTGAGTCAATCTTGAGTCAGAATCGAACTGCTGACAGTCGTAAGAGTTAGCCTGCAATACTGCATTCTAACCACTGCATCGCCATGGCTCTTTTAGTTATAATCTGATTTATTGCTCATTCTTATACACAAGAATCTAATCAATTAACAGTCAGCACTAAATTGGTGCTAGATAAAGGCTAACGAAATTCAGGAAGGGTTGGACTTGGACCGCTTGTGGGGAACGTGACAATTCTAGGCTGATCCCTCTCTTGACTCCACCCTCAGGTTCTGCCTCTCCTTCTCCTTCATCTTGCTGCCCATTATCTAGTTTTCCTACTGTTGATGGCATTCGTCACCAAATTCTGGGATGCAATTTAGAAACCTGCTTAAAAGCCATTCAAAACCAAGGACATGGTTTCCTTTCTTACTCTGCATTGCTTTTAAAATGTCTGGAAAAACACACAGACAATTTGGTGAGAAGACAGTCCTGTTTAGTATACGAAGGAAAAAAATATGCGAGACTCACTTTTAAAACAAATGTACTTTCTCTAAGAGGTAAGGGAAAAATCTGGCTGGCTGGTTTATTGTCCAGTTTGTCAATCAAATATATCCATCTCTGCAGGCATTTTCAGCACAAACACACACACACACACACACACACACACACACACACACACACAAACATACATATAGTCTTCTGTTTGCCTGTCTGTTGATAGATATAGATGGAGGTAGATAGATAACAGATACTAGATGATAGATAGATGGATATAGATAATAGATAATATAATAGGTAGGTGGGTAGATGGGTAGATAAATAGATGGTAGGTTAGGTAGGCAGGCAGGCATACAGATAGATATTGCATGTATGTACATATGTATGTATGTACTGTACATACATACATATATATATATGGTATTCAGCTTTGTTCGGGTATTTTCCCATGTCATTATAGTTGTGCTTTTAAAGTTGTAGCAATGTTTCAGCAGAATCTCATCTGCCATCATCAGACTTCTGTAGATGAACACTATACAGAAGCCTGATGATGGCAGATGAGATTCTGCCGAAATGTTGCTACAACTTTAAAAGCACAACTATAATGACGTGGGAAAATACCCGAACAAAGCTGAATACCATACATGTAAGTACCCGTGAAAACTTAAGAAAACAAATTATATATCCAAATATTAAACGGGTCCAAGACGACTGCTTCGTTTTTCTCAGCCTTGGCAACTCTCAGATGCGTGGACTTCAACTTCCACAATTCCTCCGCCAGCACTGGGAATTCTGGGAGTTGAAGTCCACGCATCCTGCAGTTGCCAAGGTTGAGAATAGCTGCTCTGGCTAATGAAGCCAACGGCCTGCCCTAAGCCTTGGATCAATTCAGGTAAACAGAAGGTCACAACTGAATTGTGCTGAAACTGGGTTTTGCTCCTAAGTAAATAGGAAACGCATGCATCTGTTGGCAAAGGAGTTCCCTTTGCCAATCCCATTGCTGTGACCTATAAAAGTTCTGCATTTCTAGACCCCATTTGGCAGGATCACAGCCAGAATCAATAGAGATTTCTGCTGACAGGTTGCAAACGTTAGTCATTTCTTGCGTATGACCCACAGCAGATCTGGATTACAGCCCAAAAGGAAGCAGTTCATGGGGAAGGCTGTAAACTTAAAAAATATACACTGCTCAAAAAAAAAAAAAAAAAGGGAACACTTAAACAACACAATGTAACTCCAAGTCAGTCGCACTTCTGTGAAATCAAACTGTCCACTTAGGTAGCAACACTGATTGACAATCAATTTCACATGCTGTTGTGCAAATGGAATAGACAACAGGTGGAAAGCATAGGCAGGTAGCAAGACATCCCCAATAAAGTAGTGGTTCTGCAGGTGGTGACCACAGACCACTTCTCAGGTCCTATGCTTTTTGGTTGATGGTTTGGTCACTTTTGAATGCTGGCGGTGCTTTCACTCTAATGGCAGCATTAGATGGAGTCTACAACCCACACAAGTGGCTCAGGTAGTGCAGCTCATCCAGGATGGCACATCAATGCGAGCTGTGGCAAGAAGGTTTGCTGTGTCTGTCAGTGTAGTGTCCAGAGTATGGAGGTGCTACCAGAAGACAGGCCAATACATCAGGAGACATGGAGGAGGCCGTAGGAGGGCAACAACCCAGCATCAGGACCGCTACCTCCGCCTTTGTGCAAGGAGGGATAGGAGGAGCACTGCCAGAGCCCTGCAAAATGACCTCCAGTGGGCCACAAATGTGCATGTGGCTGCTCAAATGGTCAGAAACAGACTCCATGAGGGTGGTATGAGGGCCCAATGTCCATAGGTGGGGGTTGTGCTTACAGCCCAACACCGTGCAGGATGTTTGGCATTTGCCAGAAAACACTAAGATTGGCAAATTCGCCACTGGCGCCCTGTGCTCTTCACAGATGGAAGCAGGTTCACACTGAGCACATGTGACAGACATGACAGGGTCTGGAGACGCTGTGGAGAACGTTCTGCTGCCTGCAACATCCTCCAGCATGACTGGTTTGGCAGTGGGTCAGTAATGGTGTGAGGTGGGATTTATTTAGGGGGCCGCACAGCCCTCCATGTGCTTGCCAGAGGTAGCCTGACTGCCATTAGGTACCAAGATGAGATCTCAGACCCCTTGTGAGACCATATGCTGGTGCGGTTGGCCCTGGGTTCCTCCTAATGCACGACAATGCTAGACCTCATGTGGCTGGAGTGTGTCAACAGTTCCTGCAAGACGAAGGCACTGATGCTATGGACTGGCCCACCTGTTCCCCAGACCTGAATCCAATTGAGCACATCTGGGACATCATGTCTCGCTCATTCCACCAACGCCACGTTGCACCACAGACTGTCCAGGAGTTGGGAGATGCTTTAGTCCAGGTGTGGGAGGAGATCTCTCAGGAGACCATCCACCACCTCATCAGGAACAAGCCCAGACGTTGTAGGGAGGTCATACAGGCACGTGGAGGCCACACACACTATTGAGCCTCATTTTGACTTGTTTTAAGGACATTACATCACAGTTGGATCAGCCTGTAGTGTTTTTTTCCACTTTTAATTTTGAGTGTAACTCCAAATCCAGACCTCCACGGGTTGCTAAATTTGATTTCCATTGATAATTTTTGTGTGATTTTGTTGTCAGCACATTCAATTATGTGATGAACAAAGTATTTAATAAGAATATTTAATTCATTCAGATCTAGGATGCCTTATTTTTGTGTTCCCTTTATTTTTTTGAGCAGTATATATTATTTGCAATTCCCGTAGATTTCCATAGAAGGAATTTGCAATTTAGAGGGAATAAATTGCAATTTAGACAGAATTTTCAGTTCCCAGTCCTAATATACCTGTCTAATAAAATCCAACAAATTCCAAACAAATTAAATTAGCTGCTCCGGTATTTGCATGACATTTGCTGCTCGCTCATTCATTCATTCATTTAATTCCTATTCCATCTGAACCAATCACTCAGGACAGTGGTTGGATTCAAAAAATTTGTATTACCAGTTCTGTGGGTGTGGCTTGGTGGGCATGGCATGGATTAGTGGGTGTGGCATAACTTGGTGGGCATGGCAGGGGAGGGATACTGCAAAATCCCCATCCCACTAACCTGCTTTCCAGTTCTGTTCTCCTGTGCAGGGCAACCCAAGAAGACCCAGCTGATCAGCTGGGACCCAACGGGAGGCAAAGAAGAGATGGGGGCGGGGCCAGTCAAAGGCGGTATTTGCCAGTTCTCCCAACTACTCAAAATTTCCGCTACCGGTTCTCCAGAACTGGTCAGAATCTGCTGAATACCCCCTCTGACTCAGGGTGGCTTCTAATTCCAAAACTATAAAAACAATAAAAAAAAAACCATTTAGAACAATAAAATCCAAAATAAACATATGCAGCAACAGAAATAATTAACCAATTAACAGTAAACTCAAGAAATGGCACCCTTAGCATATTCCGAGGAGCTCCGGGCTTGGCTACAGAGTCAAATTTTTAAAGATTTGCAAAAGGACGGCAGGACTGAGCCCCTTCTAACGTCCTGGGGAGGACATTATGCAAAGCAGGGGCTGCTACAGCAAAAAAAGATCCATTTTCTGGTTTCTGGAAGGCAGCCCTCTTTGTCCAATGGGATCTGCTGGGGTTTTGGTGCCATTGCACCAGGTAGGAAAAGTTGGGTCCCTGAATTCTATTACCAATTCTAAGATAGTCGCAAGTCCTCGGTCGCAGGGTTCTTACACAACTTGACATTAAGCAAGTATAGACGGGCCTTTTCTAGTGTCCGATTTAATGCCTTCCCCATCGGCAATTCAGGAGGGGGGATTTCATGGGACCCTTTATTCCCTTTGTCCTTGTGGATCGGGGGTGGGTGGGAAATCCTCACCCACGTCCCCATTCAATGTTCTAGGATAGCAATAGCACTTATATACCTCTTTCCAGCCTCTCTCTAAAGCTGAGTCAACCTATTGTCCCCCAACTATCTGGCTTCTCATTTTACCCACTTCGGAAGGACGGAAGGCTGAGTCAACCTTGAGCTGGTGAGGTTCAAACTGCCAAATTGCAGGCAGCCGGCAGGCAGCAGAAGTAGCCTGCAATACTGCATTGTAATCACTGCACCACCGGGGCTCTGACGATTCCCCAAGACAGGCTGATTGCCCCAATCACTTCCAAATACAAAGGCCACACGGATAAAAATGTATGATTATCTTTTAAAGGCTGTTAACCTTACACTCCCATAGCAATAGCCATAGCCCTTGGCCTTATATACCATTTCACAGTGCTTTACAGTCCTCACTAAGTGGTTTTACAGAGTCAGCCTCTTGCCCCCAACAGTCTGGGCCCTCATTTTATCCACCTCGGAAGGACGGAAGGCTGAGTCAACCTTGAGCCACTGAGAATTGAACTGCTGGCAGTTGGCAGAATTAGCCTACAATACTGCATTCTAACCACTGTGCCATCAGGAAGGATTAGGAGAAAGGGAGGGAGAGAGGGAGGGAGGGAGGGAGGGAGGGAGGAAGGAAGGAAGGAAAGAAAGAAAATAACAATAGCACGTAGACTTATATACCACTTCACAGTGCTTTTACAGCCGTCTCTAAGCAGTTTACAGAGTCAGCTTCTTGCCCTCAACAAGAGGTGAGATTCGAACTGCCAAATTGTGGTCAGCTGGCAGTCAGCAGAAGTAGCCTGCAGTACTGCACTCTAACCACTGCGCCACATACCAGGGGGTCAAATATTTTTACCAAGTTGCAAAACTGCACAAAAACGTTTAATCACATATGCTATTTTACTGCCCGTTATTATTATTTTTCCCTTTCCTAATAGCTGCTATTTACATCTCTCTCCTTTTACTGCATTCTTTGATTGTAAAGGCTGCTCTAAGACCGTAATAAAGATATTTGCTTTGACTTGATAATCCCTCAGATAACCTGGTCCCAAGCCACAGAGGGCTTTTAAAAGGTGAAAACCAGCACCCAGAATTGCACCCAAAAACACACCGGTAGCCAAGGCAGCTTTCACGCATTAGTGGGGTAACATGTGCCGAATATCCCACACCATTTGTGACTCTCTGCATTCTGCCCCCCCGTTGAAGCTCCCAAAGGCTCTTCAGGCACAGCCCCACCATACAGCGAGCACATTGCAGTAATCTTATTAAAAAGGGATCGGGCATTCCCTGCGTCTTAAAAGCTTAAGGCCCGTTTTGGGACTTTGCTTTCAGAAACTATCTGGAATCCTTGAAAACAGAGTTGTTTTACAGGGTGGAGAGAAGTGAACCCAAGCGTTTGCACAAACATAGCCTTGGCAGATGAAATTAAAATGTCTATTTTCTTAAGCTTACTCCAGGCAAACTTGTTTAAAAAAGAAAAAAAAAAGGCATAATGGCTGCAATTGTTAGTGAACCGTTTAGAAAAGAACCGAGACCTTTGTGTAAACCAGGAGTCTCAACAGCGCTCAAAACGTTTTCCACTGAATGAATGTGAATTTAGGGAACAGCCTTCACTGTAATTTAATTTAAACTAAATCAAACTTAGATTAGGGACCGTGGCAGTTTGAAGGGAGGATGTATCACCCCGTTCAACAGCCAAGTATAATTCCTGCCTTGCCACACCCCCAAATGGTTATATACACCTATTATAAAATAATAGTAATGTAAAATCTAGTATATATATAAAATTCACGCATCATCACAAAATCTCCAGAATCATAAAGCCTACAAACTTGAAATTTGGCACGTATGTTTCTCTTGGCTTCTAAGTGCTCGCTAAGAAAGGATTTTTCGAAATGACCCTCAGAGCATTCTTATTTCCTATATTATTATTATTATGTTCTGATACTAAGGAGTTCTATTCCCCCCACACCTGAAAAGGAATCTGTTCCAAATGCAAAACACAAGCAGAGGAGTTTCAGTTTCAAAGCAGCAACCAGCTTTAGTACAGAACAGTTGAGCTAAGCCACGCTCAGGCTCCTTGCTGTCTCCTTGCTCACACAGCCAATACTGTTTCAGTTTCCAAACAGCCCTCAACTCTCTCACACACTGACAAGACGCTAGCCAGATGAATACTGATGGATGCTGATAGGCAGAGGCAGAATTTTCTCCCCTTATTTTCCTCCCCACAAAACTAAGCCTGTTCACATACTTTCGTAGCGAAGCACGGTTATCCCGTTAGTAATACGTATAATAATATTGCATGGCAACTATTTATTATTCCAAGGGAAAGTTCAGGAATAATGCAGCCCAAAAGAATATTTAGATCCTTAATGATAATAAATCAAGATAGACTTTTATATATTTTTACGATGGTCAGTTTTGTATCTGTGGTTTTTATCCTAATTGCTGTGTGTCGTCCAACATCACTTAAGATGAGATGGGCGGCAATGCAAATTAGATTAATAAATAAATGAATTTGACTGTCCTAACTACCACTTTACTCGCCTTTTTTGTTTGGCTGGGTGAAACTCTTATGCACTGTCAGTTTTGCCACTTTTCTTGCCACTGTTATTAAGTGAATCTGGCTTCCCCATGGATTTTGCTTGTCGAAAGGTTGCAAAAGGACATCTTGGGACACAGCAACCGTCGTAAGTATGAGTCAGGCACCAAGCATCTGAATTCTTTTTTTTTTTAACCTTCATTGATCATATTTTCACAATTAAAAACACATTTCCACTCATTTACAGCGTGTTCGTAAGGTGTTCGCTCACACTGACATATTCTGAATTCTGATCACGAGTACGGGGATGCTACAAAGATCCTACGTGTGAAAAACAGCCCTAACTCATCCCAAAAGTGCTTTTATTTTATGAGACAGCTGGACTTTCTGTTTTTTTTCCCTTTGAAGTCATTTCCCTTCTCACCCAAGAAGCTTCTTCAGCTCTGACTGGATAGTGAGGAACGGAAGGATTTATACTCCTTGCACACAGCTGGTCATTTGCATCCTTCTGGAGGGTCGTTGAGGCCACTTGGAGCTTTAACTGTGTCCTCAGGGTCAGCTGAGTAGTGCAAATGGTTCCTGTGATCTGCAATTTTTTCCTCTGGAAATCCTTTCCTACTCCCACGCCCTTCCCAGGGGGTTCCTCCCAAATTGCAAAGCAAAAAGTCTGTAGATATTCTCAGTCCTCCAGGTCACAGTTGTCCTAAAGGTGCTTTTTCAAGAGGCAACTGGACTGTCTTGTTTTTTCTTTGAAGATGTTTCGCTTCTCATCCAAGAAGCTCCTTCCGTGACTGGATGGTGGGGAACAGAAGGATTTATATTGCAAAATGCAAATGTCCAGCTGTCTTCGAGGAATATCAATCCTTCCATTCCTCACCATCCACTCAGAGCTGAAGAAGCTTCTTGGATGAGAAGCGAAACGTCTTCAAAAGAAAAACAAAGAAAGCCCAGTTGCCTCTTGGAAAATGCAGCTTTGGAACAAACATCACCTGCAGGACGGAGAATCTCCATAGATGGGCCTAAGTCACATTTTTTCAGTGGCCATTGTTAACTTTGAACGGTCACTGAATGGAACTGCTGTAAGTCGAGGACTGCCTGCATTAGCCCAAACTTTTCTGGTGGAAATTTAGAAGGCAGGAGAAGGAATGGGCCTGTGGAAATATTAACGCCGGTGGCAGGACCACAGCACAAATCAAGGGCAAGCTATAAAAAGAGTGGGTAACCTTGCCAGCGTTTCATTTCTAGGCCAATTCCAACTCTTGGACGTTAACGTGGCCAAAGAGCACGCACCCCTTGGTGGAATGCATAGGTAAGAGAAAAAGAGCAACGCTGTTTTAAACATGATTTATTCAGCATCTTGTGGAAAGAGGTGTAAAAGAATCTATTTAACACCGGTAAAAGCCAGTCCAGAACGATCAGGATATAAAATCCACTTAGATCACGACCTAATAAGTTCTCAACCTCTTTATAGTGTTCAATTGCTCTGCTAAACAATTGTAGTTAATCAGGGATTTATTGACCAATATGAAGCTGTGGGAAGCCCTTCCCCCCTCCTAGAAGAATGAAATATTTTGGAAAATATTAAAAAGGCAGATTATTATATTTCCCAAAGGGAGAAATAGAGAAACATGCTCTTGGAGGCAGAAAGCAGCCCCGCCCACTGCAGATGTCAGCACTTAAGAAATAAAGAGCTTATTGAAAGAAGACAAGTATCTA